AAAGATGGCGTTTAATCAGCCAGACACATGTTCAATGCTGCCATTAGAGAGCCAGTATTGCTGATAAAGAACTGCTATGCGTGGAATCTGCTGATTTGTTGGGGCTTGTGGTGTTTGGTGCAGGTTCAGCAGGGGAAGCCATGACACTTAAAACACCATTACCTGATAAAGACAAAGCAGTTTTCTGTTGATACCTATTAACACCTAGTTTGATTATATGTAGCATGTTGATAATATGGGTTGAATTCACCCCCTATCGGACTGTAAAAACATGCATACCTTCAGTGGTGATTGTCATTGATGTAAATATGTATTTTACTGATGGCACACATGAAGTTTTCAGTATTGTTAGACTAATGTAAAATGCCTTTATAAAGTACTACTTGTAGACATAGTCATTGTAGTAGTGGTGGTGGTGGTGGTCTTAGTTGTAAGGTACTATCAAGTCTCTTTATTTTATAGACCAGTGAAGGTCTGTGTTAGAATATTGATCTTCAGTAACCCATGCTTGTCGTAAGAGGCGACTAAGGGGATCGGGTGGTCTGGCTTGCTGACTTGGTTGACACGTCTTGTATCCCAATTGCGTAGATCAATGCTCATGCTGTTGATCTCTGGATTGTCTGGTCCAGACTCGATTATTTACAGACCACCACCATATAGCTGGAATATTGGTGAGTGCACTGTAAAACTAAACTCAATCACTCACTCACTTTATTTTATAGCTGAACAGGGAACGAGGATGGAAAGGGGTATTTGTTGTATAAAATACTGTATATTACTGTAGATAAGCCGATCCCCTAACTTGATCCATAAAATCAGTATCAAAACGGTATGGCTGTACATTTTAAAAATATGGGTATGTGAGACAGACATTAGGATGGTTTAAAGTATGTGTAGTCTGTGATGGTACTATGCTAAACATGAGCCAGTTTCTCACTATCATTGCACTGTGCATTTCTGCTTGTGATCATGGTTTCAAATGATAATTTTCAAGAAGAAATCTTCACAGAGTTACCTGCTGCTAAATAGAGAAGATGAGTTTTTTTGAGGTTTTACACGATTCAGACATGTTGAAGTTGACTGAAGCAACACTTCAGAGGCTTGGTTCATCGTAACATTCTTGTAGTTGCGTTTTTGTGTAGTTGGCAGGTGCTTGTTCCACGCGATATAGAATATGTTTACCATGCTATAAACATTTGCTGTGAAAAATAATGCTATAAAGAACACTTCTATCCCACACGAGTTGAGATTTGAGATTCAGGACTGACCTTCAGTGTGTCAGATTCTTGCAGTGCGTATGATATCGTGATGATGGATGCCATGCCTTAGACCGTCCTTATCCTGCTCAGCATCAGCAAAACTTCTGTATCCTTTATTCCAATAAGGAAATGAACTAGACATGATTTCATTGTGGACTAGGGGTGGTGGAGTAGCTGAGTAGTTAAAGCGTTCGCTCGTCACGCTGAGGACCAGGGTTCAATTCCCCACTTGGGTACGTTTTGTGAAGCCTATCTCTGGGGTCCCCTGCCATGATATTGCTGGAATATTTCTAAAAGCGGCATAAAACCCAACTCACTCACTCATTATTGACTAGGTGGTTAGGGTATGACCTGGCCCCCAATCCTCACAGGTATCTTAGAGCTACAGCTATACTGGTCATTGTTGTCACCTTAGCGCGCTAAGATCACTGTGATGGCTGATTGGGTGTAAAAGGAGATGGTTTGATTTTTACATCTGCTATCATCACATAGTTTGTGATGAAGCTGTACTGTAACTAGTTGAAGTTATTGAATGTCTGCTTCACTAGACCTGGGTGTTTTTCAGCCCAAAATGGCACTTCAGTGTGTCTACCAATGTATGATTTGAACCATCTCTTTATCATGATGAGCTAACACTTTAAACACTTAGCTAACCCATCTCCCATACTGACCAAATGTTAAGACAATGACTTAAACTTTTTATCTCTAAGTCACTCGCATCCACAAATGTTCCTATTTCTGTGGTGTGTCTGGTATTGAAATAGCCTGGAAATGAGGTCTTTTGGCAGGTAGGTCCATTTCCTCCAGCCCAGACTTGGTCCAACATGCCTGGTAGACGGAAATCTGTTGGCCAGCTACTGACCACTGAGATAAGTCAGTGACCACTCTGACATGTGTGTAAATGTTTTCCCATCAAGATGCAGGAAGTGTGGTATGTGCCTGTCTGTGTGGTTGGTGCAAGGATGTGATTCTCACCGGCTACAACGGTGCCGCCATTTCCCTAGCTGGTATGGATCTGCATGTTGCAGGCTATTTATGGTCAAGGATTTGTGGTCAAGTACTCCTTAACCAGTCACACAAGTGATCAAGCTGTAGATAACAGATTAAAAGTAACAAAAAGTGCATGTGAATTTTAAAATACAGAAAATTCTTCTATGGTACTTGGAAACTATAGACGATTCAGTTTATAGAATATTGTCACTGTTTCTGTATGGAACGTTTGCACAATAAATATTTGATCTTTGATCTTGATCTTCATGGTGTTCTTGACGTTTACTGCTAGTGTTGCTAGTCTCTGGACACCCTAATCTATTTCCCTCTTCAGTCTGCAGCCCTCTGATACCTTGTCAAAAGTTGGGAACAATTACCAATGTCACAGACCCTAGGTATAGTCTGCTAATAATAAATGCGGGAGATTAGTCGAGCTGACTTTTAGGTTTGAAATTCTATGAGATACACAAAGAAGCTGTAAGATGCAGTCTGTGTCGTGATGTTTCTTAGGGTAGAATTCTGATGAATCTTGTGGCAGTGGGCGGCAGATTGGCCGAGATAACCCCACATTACATTATGTATTCCCAGCGATGAGAGGACTTAGTGTAATAGACTGTAATTATATGGGGACCCTACAGTAAATGCTGTTATCTTTCCCAGCCTAGACGGATGATTATGCTCAGGATTTGCTTAACGTGTAGTCTGTCGCATAAATTGTAAACATGGGAATATCACCTTCTCATCACACACTGAATGCTTCATGGTGGAGCTGTATGCAGATGATATGCTGTGTAGATATTATCAAACGTTCAGATTCAAACCCTGTCTCTTGTACTGCCTTCTCATCTTCTGTTTAGTCATAGTGCCAAATTACTTTCAAACCAATACTGTTTGATACTGACAAACTTTATAGATAACTTTTTCTGTTTCTAGTGCAATGTTTCGGTACAGGTTCTTGTTCGGTTGTTCCGTTGTCAAGCAGGAATTTTCTGTTGTCCATGAAGTTTGTCAGTATAGTACTTCCCAATTTCTGAGATGTCACTCAAAGAAACAATTCTATTTGATTGGTTTTAATGACTTACTGCATTGCTACAGTCTGTCACCAACTTAAGGTGAAGTTATGTAACAAGTTTTGTATGCCTATTTGCAAGTATATTTACTCAAGTTAAAATCTATTGAAAATGTTGTTAGGCTTTGTAGACACAGGGAAAAAAGACTGAGTTACTTCCCTTTATGCCACATTATGGTGCAATGCTATGTATTTGAGTGAAAGTTGCATGAAAAGTCCTTTAGTTTGTTTTGAGGACAGGTTTGTTTTGAGGACAAATCTGTACCAACACGATATTATATGAGCATTTTATATTCCACTGTTCACACTAACCTGTGCTACAACTTTAGAACTAATGTAGCAATTTGAATATCCATTGCACACCAGTTTGGGAAAATGATTGCCTTGTTTACAACCATAAGCATCTGACAGAGTGTAAAAACTTGCTCGAACATTTCTAATTGGGTTCAGATGTACTCCAGAACAGCATCAAAATGTGCTGTATTCTGAAATTTAAAAACAATTGTTTTAATTGTATAACTGATATTCTTCTGCAAGTAAAACCGGGGTAGGTTAACACATCCATGTGAAACTCTGCATGAAGACTTCAAGCTTCAACAGGATATGAAGACAGCATGATATACTCACAGTCCATTTGTAGGACATATTCTAGCATGCCACGATAAACTTGTTACCATGATGAACTAGCGAATGACTGAGCATGTAGACTATGTTGAAGTGATGTAGATATCAGATGTTTATCACAGTGGTGAAACCAGTGAGTCTGGGGATGGTGCTGACAAACCTACAAACGTATATTGTGGCAGACCAAGATCAGAACCCAGTGTCATTTGTTTCCAAGGGACACAACTCCGTACAGTGACTTCTGATGCCTTGAGCTCTACACTACCTGTGAACTCTCAGAATTAATCAGTAGAACTTGCCTTAGGGTTACCTTCACTAATTGATTTGTGTTCAGTAGGTTTGTTTTTATGAGTGGAAATATTGCCTTTAACCAGGAAAATATTTGGTTGAATGTTGGGCAGCTGTTTTGTCGAGTTTTATAATTAGGATTATGTTTTTCAACAGAATTTTCATTTAGGCGATTATTTGTGAATTACAAATGTCAATTTGTTTCTTAATTTGATTTTAATAAGCAAATAAGTAGGTGGTATGTACGATATTTTAACACTTGTGTTTTCACGGTTTTTCTTCATTGTGTTCATTTGTTCTGTTTTTTTCTGTAGATGTTCCTCCATGTGTATGTGTTGTTCAACAGTTGTTTTTTGCCTCAGATATTTTTGGATGTTCTTTGTTGCAAAGTTAGGTCTTATTTTTAAAATTAAAACAATAATCAGTCTTCATTTAAGAATATCATTTCTATTAGTCCTAATTTATTTGTGTTTAAAGAGAACATATTATTGTGAAAATTATAGTGTCAGGTTGATTGTTTTGGAGTCATATGGTATTTTGTTCTAATTTTATGTAGAATTATCATGTGGATTTTTGGTTAGGTGTTTGAAACTATCAAGTCATGTGAATGTGGAGGAATGCTAGAATACAGCATGTTATATATCTATATATTTCCATCTGCATCTGTTGTATTGCATTGTGGTGCCTGCATTATTGTTCCAGATATTGCATACGGTTGTTATATCACATGAAGGGAAATACGTACTTACTTTTATTGTTTGTGTCTTCAGCTCCAGGGAGTCCACCCCGTAATGTCCAGGTGCGAGCTGCCAGCCCAACAACCATCGTTGTCACATGGAATGAACCAGAAATACCAAATGGAATTATTCAGGTACTGCATGCCATGGTGGTTATCACTTATATTGTCCTAGATAAAATGTGTACATATATTTATGTATATGTTACTAGAATATGTTTTAACACAAATATTACCTTGTTAATCTTTTAAAACTGGATATATAAACTGAAGCCATTGTTCTTGGATTTTTTAGTTTTACAACTCTCATCACTCCCATTCTTTGACATCTATGATCTCTCCGTGTAACCGTAAGGGAGATAGTCAGGTGGTTAAAGTGTTGGCATGTTGAGCAAAAGATCCATGGTAACATCCTCACTTGAAAATGCATATGATGTTTAATGACCCAAATTAACACAGTTTATAATGTATGTAAAATTGCAGAATAGTTTATTGCTGCATAAATCCTCATTGCCTCACTCACTCACTCATGTATTGTGTCTTGTGTTCCAGGGTTACAAAGTGTTCTACACTTTACTACCACAGAAGCCAATCTTCTTCTGGGATGTGCAGGAAGTTACAAATGACAATAAAGTGACGACCATCAGTGGACTAGAACCCAATAAAACATACACTTTAAGTGCTTTAGCTTTCTCTGGAATTGGCCAGGGACCAATGTCACACCCTATTCAAGTGTTGACAACACAAGGAGGTAAGAGTCGTCTCCCTTTGACCGCGCCCGCCAGGCATGTTCCGCTTATTTTCATTTTGGATTTCAGGATGCTTAGATCATCAACATGACATACGTATGCTGATGTGACCTGCAACTCAGCAAGTTATATTTGTGCATTATAGTGATCCCTATACCCTAGCATGAACTCAAATATCCCATGCATGTCTAGGCTGAAAAAGGAAATCCTTGGTTCTCAGGCATCACCTGCAGCAGTAAAATAAACCTGCATGACAAATTTTAGTTCTGCTTTTCAATTAACAAAAAGCAACGTTCTGACACATTGGTAGAACGCTTTTTCTCACTTTGCCGAAAAGAGGCCCTGCCTGCACCAATTTTATGAGAAAACGTTCGCCTGAGAACCAATTGTATGTTTGTTTTCAGCCTTCTATGTACATATATAGTACAAATTACATTCTGAAATATATACGAGTATGATGACAATGCAAAAATGCGTTTAAATTATATGCATGCTTTTGTTTTGGTTATTTTTTCTGAAGCCTTTTGGGAGAGTTTGATTTGTTTCTGTCAAATATACCACAATGCATTATGTAGTGGTTCTGCATGCTATAGTTTCATGACAAGGTCATGGTTAGAGAAACCGGAATGTTTATATGGCGAGCGATTTGACCCCTGCCCTCAAGTTTAAGTTTTTGGCTGCCCCCTTCTAAACAAGACCCTGCATATGCGCTGTTTCAGTTGGCATCCCTACATTTCTTTCAACTTTTCTCACTTTCTTTGTCCGACTTTTCCATTATTTGTCTGATATTATTCAACATTAAATTTGTTTGAATTATGAATTGACAAGTTAACATATGATTTTAGATTTAATAATTATGACTTTCTGATTGTTTCGTTACATGACAAACTTTTTTCATTTGCATTCAGTAATTCTTCCATGAGAAGAGATTAATTTACACATTAATTCTATTCACACATATTTCCAAGATTTCTATTTTATTTTCATCACACAGTCTTGTTTCCTTCTCTTTGGTTCTCTTGATTTCCTTTCTGTGCGTTTCCGGCCCTTCCACGCTGTGGAATTTGCAAGCGAAATAAATTGCCGAAAAGATATATTAAGCAAGTATGAAGGCCAAGTGTTGAATTGTTTGGTTGACTATTTCATGTCATTGCAGCGCGCCCATATTTGATGGTAAGTTCGGAGAAGACAAGAATGAGGTATTCTAACATACCTATGTAGGGAAACACTACCATGCGTCCTCTACAGTTTTTGAGATACTCTGTCCGACTTGGATTGCATGTCTGCGAATCTATCGAAGTATTTTTTCTTATCAATGTGTTAGTGATCTATCAGATGCATCGAGTGACATCTCTAAGTCTTCATCCAGAAGACTGCTTGATGTTTTCTCCCTTTTTTACTCAGTGTGACCTTTGACCTGTACAAGTGACCTCTGCGCCCGCCCACGTCCGCAGTGCGCTGGCTCGCATGCTGTATGCTCTTCTATGTATACTCTGGCTGTCTATATGAATATATATACGTCCGTCAGTCCGTCAATATTTGCTATTTTTCATGTTAGCGCGATTGTGTGCTGCGTATATTTGTAGTCAATATGATGTTTGCGTTGATTGTGAGTGTTAACAAGGTAGGGGTTGCGCACTTTGCAATCGAATGACTTTAGGACCAATTTTCACCCGATTTCACTTTTTTCTCTCCTTTTTCACTGTGACATTGCACCCGTATATATCTGGATATACCTCTGTAGTCAATGTTTTCAAAGTTTTTCTGCAGTTGTTATTTTTGCTCTTTTTTCATATTTCCATAAGCTGTAGAGTGTGTAGTAATATTTCAAAGGAAAATGCTTCTGGCAGGTTAATATTGCTTGCTTTAGATTAAGACAAGGTAACAATATTTGCACCTTTCACAGCAAATTAACTGCTGAAGCAACTGCGCATTGTTGACATGACAAAGCTAACAGAGCGATATATTTACTAAAACATTTGCATGTTATATTTTACCAGCAAATGCCGTCTCCTTACTTATCTGATTTTACTCGAGCAGTAAGCGCTAGCTGCAAGCGCGCATATATATATAGAGTGAATCCTTTGCCTAACAATTGTCACAAGTCATTATATGTGTACATTGTAGCCATTTTATCATTCTTCCTGCAATTAATAATCCAATTTAATATTTCTTTTCCTCCAACCTCTACAGTTGGGCCGACAGGTGAGGGTTATACCCTTTCATTCACATTCAACAATCTCCTGCGATCGACTTTAATGTGTCTAAAAGCAAGGTTGAAAATCCCAAAAGAAACAACTCAACTGAATAGATATGACGATTTTGACCTTCATCAAATATTCTGCAGGATTTTGACATTTGTCAATGTCTCCTGTATTCAAATTTCGAATAAACTTACGACTCAAGGGTGATAACTCTAAATTGTTTCACACTCTTGATTTTGTATCGCAGGAGATCGTTAATCATTCATTCCATATTTTTTTTTCTTTTCAAGTTTGAAGAATTCCACACTGTCCTGTCACATGACACCCCAATCCAATTTATGCGTCATTTTAATCCCTTTCCACCCGAACTCTGCGTAATTTAGCATTCTCATATCGGTGGATCGAGGTTAAAGCGAACATGGTGCGGGGACATATTTCTGATCTGTCACTCTTCATGGCTAATGCGCATCCAAAGTAGCCAGAAAATGACTCACAGCTAGACATTTGAATTCACATGGAATGGAAACACAAATTGATGTCAAATTTCCAAAGAAGGTCACACCACTGAATGTTGCTAGTCACAGATAGATATCACGAGAAATGAATGGAAACACATACAGCCTTTAGATCTGAACACACTAACCGGGCATGCTTGCTCATCACAGAACCAAATTGTATGGATTGTTGACAACACGCTAAGTGAAGATGACAATACTGTAGATCATCAATGCATGGCTGCCTAAACACACATGGGCCACAAAAGCTTTCAACTTTGTAACTCTTTAAAGTAAATTTTGAAATAAATCAGCATGTTAATTTTGTCTCAAAAACGGTTTTCACCACAACAGGTTGACCTGGAGAAAATATTTCAAGAAAAACTTTTTCAAAAGTCAGCATGACAGATATCTTACATAAACATGCTTTGTCTGCTCTCAAGCATGATTCAGCTTTCCTCAAAACTTGTTCATATCTGAAAATTATAAAAATAGTTCATTATAAAAATAGTTCTTATTTATGCATGCTGATATTCCTAATAAGATCTTATCATATTTCCAATAAGACAAAGTTTTGATTTTAAGACTGATGACAACAAAAGACTTGTTGTCATGGAAATATAATTTTGCATGCAAAGGGGTTCTTTTCAGTTGAACATGAAATTTATAAGTGATAATTCCTGACATTTGATGGGCTTTTGTTTGGATTAGTGTGATATCATACACCATCTGATATTGTAACGTTCTCCTGTCTCTACTTACATAGATGTGGAACTTTAATCTGTGATGTGTGATATTTTTATTTCTATCAGAAAACAAGAATTTATGTTCGTTTGTATCTTTTAGGATGAATGCCCAATTTAAGTTGCACAGAAAATTCAAAATACAAGATATTTATAGAAGATCAGTGAATGGAACATTGCATACCAAATTGAAATGGTTTATACGCAGACATAGACGTATTTATTTGTCTCACACTTAAAGGTAACTGTGGTAGATACTTGAAAATGAAAGTTTCCCTGTGTCGATGCTATGAATTCAACAGGGTCATTGCGCACTCCCCATGCAACACCATGTGCATCAGTTGTACGACTGTGCGCGATGCCGACATGCTTTCTGCTTCCATAGGTCTGTGTGCACAAAGCGCATATGCAACCAACCTTAGGCCAAAATTATGTTATGGGCATAATTTAGCAAACCTCCCAAAATATTTCGGATATTTGCGCAAATAAAAGACAAAATTGCTATCATGCCGCAAAGCTGTAATCGATCGCAAAATTGTAATGTAGATTAATGATGCCAAATTTGTATTGCAGATTTTAGCGCATGTTGTTGTTTGCATACATTGTGTATGTTTTGAATCTCTTATAGTGCCTTATCAACCTCTGAACCTTCATGCTGACCCCATTTCTGCCAATGAGATCGATGTTGTGTGGGATCCTCCCCAGGAAGCAGATTCCATCGATAGTTATGAACTGTATTACAATGACTCACATTTCCGCCAAAATGTCCGCCTGAGCATCAACCCACCTGTTGCGAAATTCCGCCTGACGGATTTGACCCCCGACACTGTGTATCATATCCAAGTGGCTGCCAAGTCAAAACGAGGCGAAGGACCCAAGACGCCGACGATACAAGCCAAGACGAAACAATTCAGTGAGTTTTTCGCAGTAGTTGTAGATTCTGTATCAGTACCTGTTGCAGTATTGTTGACAAGTTTTTGTGGCCAATATATAAGTATTGTCTGTGGCAGTGGTCCCATTGTAATCAGTTGAGTTTTCCAAGCCACTGTTTTAAGTTAACTGTTGTAGTGCAATACCTTCCCAGATTATTTGTTTTTGATTTGATGATGTAAGAGCTCACAGGATCTTGGTTTAAGGTAAGTCAACAATTGTAAATTGTGCAATATTTAATTTTGGACCAACCATATATATATATATTAGTGATATATCACTCATATGAATAAAACATGAATTTGTATTTCTTCTTCCAAATTTTCCGATATTCAGAAGTAATGTTTCAAAATTGACATAAGTAAAAAAAAATAAGACACATATACCGTTAACAACCGATGATGGCCTACCACAAGAACAGGTAATATTTATTGCAAAGAAAAAATGTTTCTGTGCATAAAGTAAGACTAGTTTAAGGTCTATGTTCTTTGGTAGTGTAACTGGTGATATTATTATGCATTCTGATCCCTGAAATTTATTTGTTTGGTGTATATATTTAGCGTGTATATACTGTTTAGAAATAAGATCAATGCCCACTCAATGTTGTCGTTGTGAACACTATAAAGTGAGAATAGTTGTTGTAGATATTCAGTGGATCAAAGCTCACATACCAAGTTTAGTCCACTTTGATTATCACATGTTACATATTAAAGGACTAGATTTAAGGTAAGTGAGATTAGCATAGAGAGAGGTCACGGATCGAAATAAAAGATCCTAGAGATTGTTCCCTTACGATTATGCACATCAACATTATTTCTGTTTTTTTTCTGCAATTCACCCATCACGTGTTGATAATTAGCAAACTGCACGTGTGGAAATAGCACTGCTCTGAATTCCTCACTTGAAATTCTCAACCAAAAACCTTTGAATGAAAGACAGCAGTAAAGTTTGAGAATATTGAGGTCAAGTTATGTTTTACATGATTTTTACACACATTTGTTGTATGTGCAGGGTCTCCATTTAGTTGAAAAGATTTTAAACCGATGATCCAATAGCTTGCTCTGGTTAAATCCACTACAGTGATGTATCAAAAGAATTCATCAAACAAAATCTAAACGTCGTTTTGCTAGACCAGCTGATTCAGTGTCTGTTGATTGGTCTATGCTTGTATTGACCCCTTAGATGTTAACACTATGGAGATACAATATAGGAATTTATCCCCAACAACCTCTGCTGGTCATAAGAGAGGGAGGGAAGAAGATTGGTAAGTTGATCACTTTGTCATTTTACCCCCACACTGGATCAATGCTCATAATACCAGTCACTGGATTGATTGGTCCAGACTTGATTATTTACATACTGTCGTCATGTACAACAAATGATAAAACCTATAACTGGTGGTTATACCTGGGGTCTTTGTGCCAACAGTGTGACAATAGTGTTGACTGATCACTACATTGCCAGACATACAATTTACATAAGGAAACTTACTTTTCACAAACAACGAGCAACTGAGTTTGAACCGAAAAGCAATTCAAAGTGCCCAAATATTGTCAGCCTTGAAACAGTCATGGTGTGTTGGGGTAGCCTTGTGGTTAGAAAGTCCTGCTGCCTTCAGTTCAGTCAGGGGGAACTAAGGCAGTTTCTAGTTTCAAACTTCTATCATGCTAATTGTTGGAATCTGGAAGAGTGAGTGAGTGAGTTTAGTTTTACGCCGCACTCAGCAATATTCCAGCTATATGGCAGCAGTCTGTAAATAATCGAGTCTGCACCAGACAGTGCAGTGATCAACAGCATGAGCATCGACCTGCACAATTGGGGGAATCTGGAAGATTTTAGTAATGGCACTATGGGATATTCTAATAGTTGGGAATATAGATTCAGTGAGAATGTGATACCCTTTTATTTTTTCACTGTGCAAAGCATGTTCGTTTCAGACTGTTCTTGAGGCAAACCTGTTTGAACATTCATAACTGTTCTTGACAATAAGGTTTAGTCTGTTTTATCCCCAAATATACTGATAAGCCAGTCTGTTTCCAAGCTACAGATATTCAATCAGTCCAGGTAACTATTATACTAGGATGATATGGAGCTGTGGACTAGGTTAGTGGTTAAAGTGTCAGCTTGTAACACTAAAGGCCTGTTTGATTCCCAAATTGGATCTGTTGTGTACATTGCTGGTTTCTTGGAGTTCTGCGAATACCTTTGATACATCACTAAATGTTGGCAATATTCATATACAATCATTCGTCCTATTTTCTGTCTTCCTGACATGGCATGGCTTTCATATCTTTATGCCTGACTCCATTTCATTAAGTTATGAACTTGAGGATCGCATAGAGCACAACGTGATAAGTATGATATATGGAGATCCTGCCCATACCATGCCCTAATTAGTTCCTTTTGAGTTAAGATAGCGAAAAGAAATTGATGATTTGAATTTCGTTGAATTTGTTTCAGTTACAATAGCACAAATTATCTTGACCATAACCTCATGCATGGTGAATCAGCAAGGGATACTATAATCCCGCCCTGACTGCCCCTTTCAAGAACAAGATGGCTGCTCTGTGTCATGCTCGCAGATGCAATAACTTTTTAGCTAGTAACAAGAAACCAAGTATGATGAGACTGCATGAAAGGCATACCTGCCTTCTTGTCAACACTGCATGAACATGTTTTAGTTTGATTTCTATTATTTACTTTGTTTTTCACCCCCTTTACCTAATCATACAGTCCCTGAGGCCCCACCGAAGGCAGTTAGTGGCCGAATCCTTGACGCCCATCGAATCACAGTTTCTTGGGACCCTCCCAGTGCTGACAAACAAAATGGCGAACTTGCTGGGTATAAGATATATTATGTGGAAATTGCCGATGATAAGAACGACAGTGAGGCTAAGATCGCCAAAGTAAAAGGTGACACTCAGTCTTATACCCTCAAGGATCTCAAAACAGCGACCAAATACAAAATTTGGGTTGTGTCCCACACAACAGTGGGTGATGGGCCTCCATCTCAGCCAATCATTGTGGAAACGGAAGAGGATGGTACGTACACAAGAGTCGCCTCCCTTTGCTGTTTAATTCACAAGTTAACCGGTCTCTTGTTTGGGTGGCAGTTTGTTTGTTGAGTTCTAATCACCTAGGTGACGTTTTGGCGTTAGTGGGTGCTCCTTCATTTAACACACTGGGTGAAAGTCATTGTCATCCTTTCGTACTGACAATCCTCGGCCTTCGTTGTCATCGTAGAAAAAATTGACATTTCAAAATTAATTCTAGATCAAATTTTGACCATGTTCATTTCCGTATCAAAATAATCCCTCCCAACCACCGTAACTCCTCATCACTGTAGCCATGGAAACTAACAATTTAATGGACTTGACCTGAGTGTAATTGTCAGTAACCGCCTTTAGTAGAAATATCTACGTCGGAAGTGTAGTGAGTATGTTCATGAGACTGGTAACCGAACTTAGAGTCAGGATCAGGTGTCAGTTCATACTAACAGCTTGAATAGTAACTGTAAGTACTTTCTTCTAGATCTTGTTGTCTGTACATTGTGCATGCAGCTTTACCTTGTTCGATGTTTCGTACTTGATGTGAAGTTTTGTGGTCTTTTCTTTCTGTCTTTTAACATGGAAGTTGTTCCATCCTCGTTGATGACTGCGTCTCTTTCAGCCTTTTTATCTACGGACACATTTGAAAAGGAGCCGAAGATGACAAATTTCTAACGAGTAAACTTACCGTCTTCGAGAAATATTTGAATTGATAATACCGCATTTAATAATAAACATACCTAAAACACTTTATTTTGATTCTGTGTTGAGCATTAAGTTTGAATTTATTCTTAGTTAAATTTATTTTGATTTGTAACTGAAAAATATTTAAGTTGCTAGGCTCCCAATTTACATACGCTAGTGTCCCAGGATAGTACTAACATTTTCTAACCCAACCCCTTGAAGCACAAAAACCACATCAAGTATGAAATAAATCTGTTGTGTGGAATGCTGTAGATATAATTCCTTTCTCCATTTTATTACGGCTTTCCCTGTTCATCTGTTTTAAATGATCAATAATGAATTAACCTTTAAAAAATTCATATTTGAATTTCCAGTAATCAATTGTTATGAGAGCCCCTTTGATGTTAATTAACATGTTCTAAAATTAAAATAATGTTAAATTTCTCATCAGCATGTCTCGTTTTTTCTGGTTTCGTTTCATTCTATTTACTCAGTCTCCAGCTTATTGACTGATAATCTTCAATTTCAGTAGAAAAAGCATGTTCTATAGTTTTGGTTTGTTTCTTTGATTTATGATGAAGACATGCATGGACTCTGGACTTTTGACTCTGCCTGTCCAGAGGATCAAAATTCTAAATTTTTTTAATCCAAAAGCTTTTTGATTATTTCAGAAATTTTAAAGCATTTTTTATTTGTTTAGTTGTGTATTTTGCAAAAAAAAAACATTTGCATGAACAATGATAAATTTTTGTCTAGTTCCTGGCGAGCCGAGGAAAGTTCGCGTGGAAGCGATCAACTCTACCGCCATCTATGTCGAGTGGCGTGAACCAATAGAACGTCATGGAGTCATAAGAGGCTACCAGGTGTACTTCTATGAAGTGGACAGCAATGATGAAACAATACCGGGTAAACAAGCCCGCTTTCATGACACGTTTGACGGCACGAAACACGAGGCAGTTATAACAGGATTGGAACCAGACACGCGATACAACATCCGGGTAGCCGCCTACACAAGAAAGGGAGACGGGATCCGGAGCAAGGCCAGAGTCATCACTACCAAGGGTGCAGGTCTGTGAAGGTCATTTTTTGTCAGTTCATTTAGCTTAAATTTTCTTACTTTGTTAATCACATATTTCATTGTATATTAGAACGAGCATGAACCTTTTGCCTTTATTTCAGTGCCATCACCACCCAGGAATCTTCATGTGGACCTCATCCAAGAAGATCCTCCAAGGGTCAAGGTCACATGGCAGCGACCTCGTGTGACCCATGGTCCTGTGGAAAATTACAAGATCATATGGGGTCGTATTGGGGAGCGTTACGAAGAGAAGATTCTTCCTGCAGAGAAATATTCCTTTGTGACTTACTCTCTGGACAAAGGGACCACATATGAGTTCCGGGTGTCTGCCAAGAATGATGTGGACTATGGAGAACGTGCTGTGGAGAACATCAAGACACCTGATGGAGGTAATTGCAGAAACAAAGTGATCGAAATTCTAGTTCTATGTAAAGGAGTATTGACAAGCACATGATCCAAGAACAAACCTCACGTTAGGTGTAAGAAATAAAAATGAGCCTGCCAGTCTATACCTAAGTGTAGAAGTTGTAGAAGTCTTGGTGCAGGTGTTATGATCTGTAAAAGTCTAGGTGCGGGTGTTATGATCTGTAGAAGTCTTGGTGCAGGTGTAATGATCTGTAGAAGTATTGGTGCAGGTGTTATGATCTGTAAAAGTCTAGGTGCAGGTGTTACGAGCTGTAGAGGTCTTGGTGGTATGATCTGTAAAAGTCTAGGTGCAGGTGTTATGATCTGTAGAAGTCTTGGTGCAGGTGTTATGATCTGTAGAAGTCTAGGTGCGGGTGTTATGATCTGTAGAAGTCTAGGTGCGGGTGTTACGAGCTGTATAAGTCTTGGTGCAGGTGTTATGATCTGTAGAAGTCTAGGTGCGGGTGTTACGAGCTGTAGAAGTCTAGGTGCGGGTGTTATGATCTGTAGAAGTCTAGGTGCAGGTGTTATGATCTGTAGAAGTCTAGGTGCGGGTGTTATGATCTGTAGAAGTCTAGGTGCGGGTGTTATGATCTGTAAAAGTCTAGGTGCGGGTGTTATGATCTGTAGAAGTCTAGGTGCAGGTGTAATGATCTGTAGAAGTCTTGGTGCGGGTGTTACGATCTGTAATAGTCTAGGTGCAGGTGTTACGATCTGTAGAAGTCTAGATGTGGGTGTTACGATCTGTAGAAGTCTAGGTGCGGGTGTTACGATCTGTAGAAGTCTTGGTGCAGGTGTTACGATCTGTAGAAGTCTTGGTGCAGGTGTTACGATCTGTAGAAGTCTAGGTGCGGGTGTTACGAGCTGTAGAAGTCTAGGTGCGGGTGTTATGATCTGTAGAAGTCTAGGTGCGGGTGTTATGATCTGTAGAAGTCTAGGTGCGGGTGTTATGATCTGTAAAAGTCTAGGTGTGGGTGTTATGATCTGTAGAAGTCTAGGTGCAGGTGTTAATGATCTGTAGAAGTCTTGGTGCGGGTGTTACGATCTGTAATAGTCTAGGTGCGGGTGTTACGATCTGTAGAAGTCTAGATGTGGGTGTTACGATCTGTAGAAGTCTAGGTGCGGGTGTTACGATCTGTAGAAGTCTAGGTGCGGGTGTTATGATCTGTAAAAGTCTAGGTGCGGGTGTTATGATCTGTAGAAGTCTAGGTGCAGGTGTAATGATCTGTAGAAGTCTTGGTGCGGGTGTTACGATCTGTAATAGTCTAGGTGCGGGTGTTACGATCTGTAGAAGTCTAGTTGTGGGTGTTACGATCTGTAGAAGTCTAGGTGCGGGTGTTACGATCTGTAGAAGTCTTGGTGCAGGTGTTACGATCTGTAGAAGTCTTGGTGCAGGTGTTACGATCTGTAGAAGTCTTGGTGCAGGTGTTACGATCTGTAGAAGTCTTGGTGCAGGTGTTACTATCTGTAGAAGTCTTGGTGCAGGTGTTATGATCTGTAGAAGTCTTGGTGCAGGTGTTATGATCTGTAGGTGTTACAACCTGTACAAGTCAAGGTGCAGGTGTTTGGACATAAGGAAGAGTTAAGACATGATCAAGTGGAATTTTAGGAGTGTCAACATGTTGGCATCTTGGTTCTAGAGTTACTTTATTAGAGATCTTATTTGTGGATAAGAATAGAGACAGGTATCAGTCTTTGGCAAAACTATACTCCTTTACTTCAAATAATTTGTATCACCCTCAAATGGACCGAATAAACTGATGTTTCTTGGAGGTGTCCAAAGATTTTATGATTAAGCCTAAGAGCAGTTAAAATTAACAAGAGGTTCATACAGTTCACTCACTCACTCCCTCACTTGTCATTTCAGCTCCAGCAGGTGCTCCCCAGAACTTCACAGCCACCGGCATCAGTGAAACCAGTGTCCACCTCACTTGGGATCTGCCAGCTCGTGCTCTGCGTAATGGTGACATTGTCATGTATCAGATTACGTATCACAAGCTGTCTGACCCCATCAACGAGGAGGACCTGAACGTCACTGACACCTACGTTGACATCACCGGCCTGGAGATGAACACAGATTATCGCTTCAAGATCAAGGCATACACCAGCAAGGGTTCTGGGCCTTGGAGCAACAATCTGCATTTCCGCACATTCGGGCATAGTGAGTATACAATGGTGTTCACTTACAAGGCTGAAACAACCAGAACATTACCATGCCAGTCTCTCAACAGAAACTCCCCATGCAGAAACTCTTACTGTTTAACATCGGGAGAATGCAGAGTTAAAAGTAAACCCCAACACGAGGTGCCCTTTTCACAACCCTAATAATAAAACCAGAAAATTTAGGGGACCCTTTGACTAATGCTCTATATAATTTTCACCCGTGAAGGTCCGGGTTAGAATGAACCTTCAGTAACCCATGCTTGTCCTAAAAGACGACTAACGGGATCGGATGGTCAGGTTCGCTGGCTTGGTTGACACATGTCATCATCGGTTCCCAATTGCGCAGATCGATGCTCATGCTGTTGATCACTGGATTGTCTGGTCCAAACTCGATTATTTACAGACCACCGCCATACAGATAGAATATTGCTGAGTGCAGCGTAAAACTAAAGTCACTCACTCACTATATAATTTTCATAGTAATAAATAAACCCATTTGAATTGAAAAGGAACCCCATCTAGACTTGCTTCATTTAGGGCTTTAGTATTGCAGGGAGGGATGGGCAGTAGGGAAAATAATGTGGTTCAAGGAATGTGAGACCGACTAGGGGACCGTAGGTTCATACCATATGTGAAGACCCATGGGACTGCTCATTCTGAAACATGGATAACAGATGTAAGCATTACTGAAGGATGATGTCAGTAGTAATTAGGATACGCTAGGATAAATTATTAACAGTTTTTGTATTCAATAGTTCTTATTTTGGATTTCACTGAAGCTGTGTTATTGATTCTTATTAAAACAAGTCCCGTGTTTCAGCTGAAACATTGATTGATGGAATTCTTAACTCATTTCCTCCTAACTCAATATTTGGGTCAATAGATCCACAGTTCTGGCGGAATGTTGTTCAGCCTCTGTTGCCCTAATCAATCTTACACCATATATCGCCATTTTTGAGAATGGCACCACGATAACTACCTCACTAATATCTCCTCCAGGGGTCTGTATAAACAATAAGATTGGCCAGTGGAATCTTTGTCAGATCTTGAACTTTTTAACGATACATATACAATATCGTTATGAGATTGAGCGTGTCCTTTGACTTGGAAATAGGGGGAGGTGGAAGGCCTGGGTTCGATTCCCCAAATGGGTACGAAGTGTGAAGCCCATTTCTGGTGTCCCCCGACATGATATTGCTGGAATATTGCTAAAAGTAGCGTAAAACTAAACTTACTAACTTGGAAATACACATGCAGATAAATGTTACCTTATGGAATGTGTAACACAGCCCCTTCCTTAACACAATAAGATTTTGAATGTAAAATGTCACAACATCAGTTATAGCATCACCTGTTTAAATCTATAAATGTTACATATTCATCAATCTGGATCTTCATATTGGTATTTTATTGTAAAAAGGTTTCAATCCTTGAGGACTCAAATACTAAAACTGCAAACCTGAAAGAAACAAGGGCTCACCGCCCCCAACCCTCATTCTGTCTGTGAAACAGGTGCCCTCTCATCATCAGTTGGCCTATGTTAGTGTTTGGTTGTTTCAGTCTGAAGTACAGACAGGCTCCATGACTTGTCCCACAGACCTTCACTATTTTGTGCCCCGTCACATATTCTACTTCCTAACTTCCTAGTTTTACACCAGAACAATCTGCCTTCACTGTAAATTGTGTCACTCTGTCGACTGTTCACCACACTTCTTTCTGTCACTGCTACCTGTTCAATGCAAACATAACATCATTTTTTCAGTGAGATGAATGGGTGTGTGAAAAATGTCCTTGTCAGTGTCAAGGCGAAAAGAATAAATTACAGTAATGTCATTTTAGTTAGAATTGTGAACCTAGGTTGTAAATAATGAGAGCAACACACACATTTATGTTTCTATTAATCTGAGGATCAATGCACAAAAGCTAAATTGCCCTAGACCTGTATGATTGGAGTTTAAAATGCCTCAGTGTTTTTCAGGTGTTGATCAAACTAGTAAGTGTGGCACTGTCCTTAGATTTACTAAGGCTAGCAGTCTGTAATTGTGATCCCATTTGTGATCTACAGACTTAATTGTTCTGTTTCGACTGTTGGAGCTCACCTGTGCTAGTGGTGCGAAGTTTTGTCTGGTATACCTTGTACTGAAGTTGTCACTTGACATGGATGTTCAATTACTTAGAAAACTTTAAACCAGTTTTAAATATGTCTGCCATGGAGGCCATATTAAGAATGTTATTTTTATATGTCTTGCATTATGTATACTGAGGGAAAAAAATAAGGGATCACATGAAAGCACAAGTGTTCCTTTATTTTTTTCCAGGTTTATTCACAAGCTGTGCGATACAAGGCTTGTGAAGAAACCTTGGAAAAAAAATATAGGAACTCTTTTGCTTTCATGTGATCCCTTACTTTTTTCCCTCAGTATAATTTGAGAAAGCACAGACCATATGAGTAACTTGCCATAATTTTATAAATTTTGTTTTTTACCTTGCTGTGACATTTAAACTTAATATACTCCCTGTTTTATTTATCTTTACTGTATATTCTTGATCTCTGAAAGTCTTGGTTGAATACATTTCTGTGTATGACCCTGTGAGTGATGTTCTTTGAAAAATTTCTCAGAATTTTAATGGAATATGAAGACCTGGTCACACTGCAACCAATTTGGCATTTATTGTTATGAAATGTCCTCTGTTTTAATCCATAGTGGTAGAATCCTTTGTTAGACATGTAATGTTGTGACCACTTGGGATCATGGGTTAAAATACATCTCCAGCAACCTATGCAACATTTGGCAACAAAATGAATGGGTATTCAGAATCGGTTTATGGATTTTGGGGTGTCATTATACTCAAATAATATGAATCCTTGGGCAAGAGACTTGATTATTTACAGACTGCATTAAGCAGTTACTAAATTAAACTACATCTTAGTTTGGCCGTCTGCTCAGGATAATTTGTATCAGTGTGTAATGTATACTCATTGATTATCTCAGTCGTGTGGCAACTGATCTGATATTATAGTCCAAGTAAGGTTTAGGTGAGCTACAGTGCTTTAGGGGCATGAACTTCTTGGTTCTGACTTTTACATCAACCATCTGTAGCAGCAATTTTCATGACTAAATGTGTAGTTACACATATGAAAACAAGGATGACTTATGGATTTCATATTCTTGTGTGTCCATGCTACATGTTGACATAATGGCTGGTACTGGTGTGATCCAGCTGCCAGACCTTTCTGAAATGTGATCTGAAACATCTTGTTCGTATAATATTGCATAAAATGTATTAAAAAAGTAAATGATTGATTCATGTATTGAAGTAAATAAATAAGACAAAAACTAAGTCCTTTCACAGCATAGACTTGAAGAATCACAAAAGTTCAACTTTGTATGCCAACATTGTCTGGCATGCAGTCTCAAAATGACAGGAACTTAGTTTTTGCTGTCTCTAAACAAAGATCTGTGGATATCTCATTTAGGTCACATCATTACGATCTTTCATGAATTTTTACCAACCAGTGAAATGACTAAAGGGAAGTTGTCACTACTGACAATCCAGCATAAAGCTGTCCATAGCCTCTTGCTTTCGTAATAAAGTAGTACAAGTTGAACACTTGTTTGTATTTTGTCAAATGATGCTCAAGGTAAAGAAAGAAACCGACAACAGGTGTCTTTTTGTTTTCCTTCTTTCTTGCTCTTTTTCTTCACTCTTTTTTGAATTGTTAATTACATACTTTTCAGTTATAATGTTTTATATGAGAGATCTACATAGTCAGTTATAAATGAAATCTAAATCCCTTTTCAAATCAGTGATTTTATTAATATGTTATTGTTTACTAATATTTATGATGTGATTATCTAAAGGATATTTTTATCATACCGTACCTTTACCTCATTGTCTGCTTATACATTTTACACAATATCATATTTTTTATTTTACAATATATTTATTATTTCTTTTGATTCAGTGCCACCTGCACCAAAGAATGTCAAGATCCGTCGTACATCCAGCTCGATCATCGAGGTGACCTGGGACGAACCTGACTTCCCTGTGGCGGGCTACAAGATCTACTACAACATGTTTGCGACCCCCGACATGGCGGTGTGGCAGACCCTGGAAACAGGGCCCTACACTGTGGCTGAGATTACCGGGCTTGAAACTCACACCGTGTACGCGGTCAGGGTTCAAGCCCGTTCTGTTGATGATCGCTATGGAAACCTGTCCGAAATGGTCACTACGGACTTCATACCACCATGTGAGTTTTTCAAGTGTTTGAAATGAATGAGTTGGGACCAGAGAGTGGCACATCTGTTTTAGTGGGGTCAATCTGTATTCAAAATTCATGGATTCAGTTCTTCATTTGGTGGATTATGAAAGACACATTTGTGTTGTCTTCATTAGCACAGTGGTTCATGCTATCATTCTATATACTCTGGATTCACTACAGTGTCTTATACATTGAAAAGACCATTCATATTGTGTACAGTAGCACAGTGGTTAGTGCTGCTGCTTTGTACACGGAAAACCGGGTTCAAATCCCAGTGTTTTTTTAAGAAGCTTTAGTGTGGATGAACCCAAATAAAAAGGATTTATGTTGAAAAAAAGGTTGAAATGTAAAAGAAGGAATAGAAGTGGAACCAAGTGCCTTTGGTGGTCCTATGAGTTAGCTGCAAGGGATAAAATGATTCATGATTTCTGTCACTGATTTCTTATTTGAAGGCCACCATGACAATTCTGAAATATTGCTGAGTGCAGCACATCAGTCACTCTCTCCATCTAGAATCCTGCTGACGGCCATTATATGTTTCAGTCCGCCAGGACGTGGTACAGAACTTCCGTGTCACTCTGCGTACTCCGCACATGGTGAAGTTGTCCTGGGATAAACCAGTCAAGCCGAACGTCAACTCATACCAGGTAGGATGAATCATGTAACCAGTAACTTGCTGAAATCATATTTAAATAATACACTGACATTCGAAGAAAGGTGTTTTATTCTAAGATATATTGTTAATGAATTTTGTTATTACTTTTTAAATTGTTCTTTTATTGGATTCTCTTTTTACAAACCATGGAAATAGTTTCAGTGGTGTTCACATTATTTGTCGCTGTAATGTGCCTCTGTCGATTATCAATTTATGTACACTTGATGATGTGACATTTTCAACACGATAATCATTAAAACCCAGAAAAAGCATATCATGAAAACTAAAAATACCCTCCACTTATTATAGCTTGCTAAAACCATTTATTGTATCATTTTGACCATACTGCTGTTCTGTCTCCCCTTCAGCTGAGGTATGAGGGCGTGAAGAACTACTGGGAGAACGGGGTGATCAAACAGATCTACCAGGCACGGGAGGAGGTTCGAATCCCAGGCCAGATGACCACCTGGTCACTGCCAAACCTTCAACCCAAGATGAAGTTTGATTTCAACATCAGTGCCATCTTCCAGGACGGAAACGCCGGAGCTGACCAGCACATTATCGTGGAGACTCTCATTGAAGGTAGGCGCCAGGGCTTGTTTCTGTTTGGTAGTTCCGAAATTTACCTGAATGTCGCATGCATGAATAACATTAACAATCAGGAAATTCTTCTTCAAGCCAAGTCCCAGCTTTTGACAATTGGTTTTTTATTGAACATGGCTTCAAAGAATTCAAACTGGTGAAATGATCAATTGATTGTAATTGTTTTCACGATGTATCATGGTTTGTGTGTTGATGTTGATAATTTCTGTGAAAAATAAACATACATGAGCATATATACCATAATCAATGTAATGAGTGTTCTGTCTCTAATTACTGACATTCAAAACTTTGTTTGATTTCCCACTAATCTTGTTCTTGAAAATATTTACATTTATGATCTATGATAGGAGGGTTCTTCTGACTGTAAGCAGCAAATGTGAGCTGTTTCTGGTATTTAAGTTTATTATGCCCCACCAACATGAAGTAACATCCCCTTCAACACAGGTCATAGTGGGGTGGTAATTATGATGAATAATGGATGCTTAGTGCCATCTATGCTGTACAGTGGAGGGACTCCATTTGTTTAGTATTGCAATTGTACATGGACAGGAGATCGTGGTCATCGTGTATTGTCATCAATTGTACATGAATAAATAATGAGTGTGTTGTTTCGTGAGAAGTTATTGTGTTTGAAAGATTGTCAATGAATAATAAAAGACCTGTCTGCTAGCTTGTTTGTATTTTGTCATAAAATGATGCATACCAAATCTGTCAATGATCCAAAACATATAACAAAACGAGTATTGAATAATGATAAGACATTGAGAATTAAATTATGATGATTAAATTAAAGATTATTTCCACATTATTATCATTATTGTTATACTTATAATTATCATCATAATAAATATTATTATTATTAATTTCATTACAATGATTAATTTCATAACATGTACTAACACTTCTACATTTAACAATCTCATGTGTGAAACACAAATGAACGGTTTAACAACCCTTATTGCAGCTCCCCCCTAGTGTGCACAGGCCAGAAGTAGTCAAGGTTTCCCATGGGAAGATAACTCTCCGCTTGTCTCGAGCATCAGAGAGGAATGGACCGATCAGTTACTATCATCTCATAGTTGTGCCTCAGAGACAGGAGCACAACATACACAAACTCCCTCAGGATTTTACGCTAGAAATGGTGAGGTTTGATGAACTGACTTTTTTCAAGTTCAAACAGTTTTAAAATAGAATTTCATTGCCTTTTTCTTCCTTTGTTTTAAAGTTACCTGAAGTTGAAAGAAACGATAGATGAGTTATGAACAAAGGAAATCCTTGTCTCATTTTGTAATTGAAGTTGACATGTCATGGTGAGGAGAGGATGACATTACAAGCTGGCTCACCTCAGTGTTTGAGTGCACCTGAAGGGTTGCGAGAGGTGTAGTGGTGTAACTATATACAGTACTGTATTGTATCGGGATACTATACATCGATTTACAACACCTAAAGATCTACTGTTGCGTTTATTGACCCGTGAAGGTCCGGGTTAGAATTGGTCTTCGCAACCCATACTTGTCGTCGAGGCAACTAACGGGATCTGGTGGTCAGGCTGGCTGACTTGGTTGACACATGTTGTCATATCCCAATTGTGTAGATCAATGCTCATACTGTTGATCACAGGAGTGTCTGGTCCAGACTCGATTATTTACAGACCACCAGCATGAATATTGCTGAGTGCGGCGTTAAACAACAAACAACACTATTGTGTTTATAGTAAGATTAGTGTTAAAAGAGGGACCGATGTTAAACAACAAGTTTGTTGATGATTGACGAACAAGTTTGATGTAGAGTACACATCTGATGTTGATGTTGATAACTGGTAATTAACATCTTAGATGTTGATGTTTCAGCTGTCCAAGGAGACTGAGAGTGTGGAAAACCCCGCCTCGTATCCTTATATAGCAGCACGATTCGACTCACGGAATCTGCCGCCAGAGTTTGACCTTGGCAATGGGCAGGAATACGGTGCGTTCTTCAACCGTAGACTTGACGAAGATGACCACTACAAGGTTTTCTTGCGAGCCTACTCTGTTGATCCGGTAAGTTGGCCTTGTCTGCCACTGAAGTCACAACACTTCTCACCAGATGAGATACTCTTGCTGTATGAATTGAACAATAACAGTTTTTTAGATAACCATGCTAAAATTTCTTGTTCGTGGTTGAACAATCAAAAGCCTCTTTTTTAACATGTGTTCAGTTATATGATGCTTAGGTAAGGGGAGATAACTACACTTAAAACCTTCGTCTCAACATCTGTGTCTATGAAATGCTCTTTTCCAAACAAGGTAATGATAGATATTAAGTTGTTGTGAAATCACTCAAGCGATCTCGGTGAAAAATCTGCCCAGAAACTTAAACTTAAGCTTCCATGATACAAAAATGTAAAGATTCTATTTTCTGGTTGATACTGGAACTCCACAATTTACAAGTGACTGTTGTCTTCTTATACATACTTGTCTCCCTTTCCAGCGCTTGTACACATCAAGTGAATACTCTGAGATTCTGAGTCTTTCCACGGGTGTCGATGAGCCAACCATCATACGGAAACCAAACCCAAAGGAAGCGAACAGCCTTAAACCATCCCAGGACAATGTTACGGAACATGACGAGACTAATAGATTGTTATTGATCGTTGCGCCCGCCTGCGGGGGAGGCGTATTCCTTATTCTTGTCTGTGCCGTCATTGCTTTTTTAATGTTCCGGTAAGTGGATTGATCGGTCATGTTTTGGTCTGTATTGTCCATTTCTGAAAGCATTCTGTATGCTACAACATTGTAATATACAATGAAACCTGTAATGTGGGTTAAATTTTGACATACTTACTCTCAAAAGTTTATGGAATTTGGAACGACTTTTAATGCAAGGTAATAGATCTATCTCTGCTTGTTCTTTATAATTGGATAGATTGTCAGTTTTTTAATATCAAGCTAGATACCGTATACTGTACAGTATGTGATGATTTATACATACAAATATGACAGTTGGTGCATTGGTAAATTTCATTACAATATCACTCAAGTGTGTGGTATAAACATTTATACCACGTTACAGTGTTGCTCTTGTTTTGATTGTGTATTGGGTCATTACGACGTGTAACCAGGCTGTATTGATGTCATGGAAACTTTGATTTCTTTCTTACAGGGAACATACTATGTAAGCAAGATTTCATTATGTTGAACTAATATTGTGTATGTTTGTCTTTGCAGCAAAAAGTCCAATTCCAAAGGGGCCATCCTCGAACCCGAGTCTAAGGTAATGGTAGACATACCTCCTTACCTGGTGGATCCTGTGGAAATGCGACGACAGCACTACCAAACCCCTGGTCAGTACTTACTGTTTATAGCCTCACATTGCAGTATGTTTCATCCATTAACCTAAAAGTCTGGGTTTGAATCCCGGTTTAACAGTGCTCATTAATTTCACCCAAAGGTACAAGAGACCCAGTAGTTTAACACGCCACAATGCATTGTGCAGTGTTGTGTCCCTTAGTGGGTCTGACTCCTGCTTCACCCTGATTGTTTGTAGTTTTCGTCATCACCAGCCCCGACTTCGTAGGTTCCATGAAAGTGGACCTACAACACCATGGTGACATACTTAATATTTGACTCCAAATCTGTTAAAAGTGGCACTAAAACTAAACTCACTCACTCACTTTAGTCTCTCTCCCAGATCCAAGAGAATAAATCTATTGAAGTCTACAGATATTGGTCAAGTAGTAATGAAGGATTTTTCTTGGCTGAATTTGGATTATATCAGGACAGTCATGGGAAACTATGCTTTGTAGCAATCAAGTTAACAGGTCTCCTTCTTATCAATTCAATTCAATTTATCCTTCTTATCCAGCATCTCTGTTGGTATTTTTACAATGAGGGAGAGATCTTTTTAAACATTTAGTGCATGTATTCCACCAACATAGAAAAATGGAAAGGTGATCAAATTTGAAAACTGTTCGAAGTTGAGCTGGCTAGTTTAGATATACCTGTCTGCATATTGGTGTATGATGTTTGAACCTCGTTCCCTCATTGTCTCACACATGAAGATACGAGTTAGAATTGGTCAGGCTCGCTGACACATCTCATTGTATCCCACTTGCGTAAATCGATGCTCATGCTGATGATCACTGGATTGTCTGACCAAGACTCGATTATAAACAGACCGCCGCCATATATCTGGACTACTGCGGTGTTAAACACCAACCAGCCAACCAATCTGATTGTCTCACTAACTCCCTAACGCTTCTGTTGGTCTCTTTCAGCGATGATTAGTCACCCGCCCATACCGATTGAGAGACTTGGAGACCACATTGAAAACTTGAAAGCCAACGATAACTTGAAGTTCTCTCAGGAATATGAGAGTATAGAGCCAGGACAACAGTTCACATGGGACAACTCCAACTTGGAGGTCAACAAACCCAAGAACCGCTACGCCAACGTCATTGCATATGACCACTCCCGTGTTATTCTGCAACCCATCGATGGGGTCCCTGGCAGCGACTACATCAATGCTAACTACATGGATGGATACCGCAAGCAGAACGCATACATTGCCACACAGGTTGGTTGGATTCAGTCTCGCATTGTATCAACTTTCAACAGGGTAGAAAAGTTCCCAGGGGTGTTTATCAGGAATACCTATATGGATTCAGGGCATAAATAAGTTCCCAGGGCCCTGTTCTTACAAAGGGGTCTTAGTGCCATGATAGTCGTATGTCTGCATATCACATCAGTAAAAGACTAATCTCAATAGGGGTGAAACGGTACACTTTTACCACGGTACGGTACGTATTGCGGTACAAGGCCTTCGGTTCGGTCCATTTCGGTTCCATATATGAGATATGATCATAATGTGCAGAAAAGAAAAGAAAACGCATAGAATTTGACAACATGATTTGATTTCTAGACATTTTAGAAAAGGTTTAAAAAGGTTAATAAAATGATGGTACGAAAACCGAAAATACCAATTTGTTTTATTGCACTACTTTATACCAAAGGCAAAATACCGATACCGCAGTATACCTGTTTCACCCCTAATTCTCAACAATGTGTGGGTTCCATTGCTTGTCATGTTATATGCCTGGAATATAGTAGCTTTCTACGTCTTGGCAGATTGCCATAAATCTTGTATAAAGAAAAGTTCAAGAAATTTTTATGCTGACTGTTTCAGGGTCCCCTGCCGGAAACGTTTGGAGACTTCTGGCGCATGGTGTGGGAACAGCGTTCCACCACGATAGTCATGATGACCAAGCTTGAAGAAAGATCACGGGTAAGTTCAAGATCGCCGTGTCACCCAAATAAACAAATCAAACTTGTCTCATATCGCCATGCCATGAAGATGTGGCTGAGAATTGGTCTTCACGCAACATGCTTAGTCATTAGAAGTGACAGGAGTAGGTTACTACATAGGTAGATCATCATATCTCAGCTGCATGGTTCAATGCTCATGATATCAATCACAGGATTGTCTGGTCTAGATTATTAACAGACTACAATTATTAAGCAGGAATATTCCTTTGTGTAGTAAATCGTGTGGAACAACAACAAAAATATTATTGAACACGGAATCAGATAGAAGAAAATAAATCCAGCTTCAGTAACTTGTTTGTTATGATAAGGTGAGAGTATTTTTGTATTCTGTAATGTTTCTTATTATCCATATGGTGAAACATAACCAGTGTCATAAATATCATATGTGCACATATTACTTTTGCCCAGCAACCATTATTTCTGTGTCTGTGACGTTATTAAACAATTGAACGTGACGTCAATGAAATGGGCAGGCACACTTGCTTACCATGTTTTACTGCACAAATGCATATGAATAAAATGGATAATAAAGAAATTATTACACTTGAAAGTGTGCCACACGACTTATATGGAACTTGTGCCAAAATTTTCACACTCGTTTTGTATAAGTCGTATGACACTCGTGTAATAATCTCTATTTAATCCATCTACATACTCATGTGGACAAATTCACTCATCTTGTCTTGAATTGTATCTTGTTGGTGCTTTGAATTGCTGAATTTTCTTGTTGTTTACTGATTCATAATAATGTTTTTTTAGCCCATTTAAAATATATAAAATTAGTGCATTTTTTTGTCCTTTTATCAAATTTTCAATCTCTTGTGATTTTTTATTTTATTTTCGCAGATAAAATGTGACCAGTACTGGCCCTCTCGTGGAGCTGAGACTTACGGCATAATGCATATTCATCTGGTTGACGTGACGGAACTCGCTACATACACCGTGAGAACATTCCAAATTGCCAGGGTAAGTAATGTCATCAGGATAATGCTTGTATAGATGGATGTTCATCATCTGTGACAGAATAGCTTCTCACCAAATACATTATATGATATGTTCAGCCACCCCCTTGGGAGACTCTGGGTTGGAACAGGTCCCCAACAACAGGTGCTTGTCATATGAGGCAATTGCATGGATTGTGCAGTCACACTCATTGTGGGCCATCATACCCCAACAGCATGCACAATCCTCAAAATATCTATCATTGGTTAGTTTGGTCCAAACCGCCACTATCTTTTAGCTCTATTATTCCATGGGTATTGAAAACAAACCCAGAATTGTACATCACAGTTGACACAGTTCAGTAATATGTTTGCTGATGTTGACAGTATGGCTGCCCCGAGAAGCGTGAAGTTCGACAGTTCCAGTTCACTGCCTGGCCAGATCATGGAGTGCCAGACCACCCAACACCACTTCTCATGTTCATGCGCAGAGTCAAATCCAGCAACCCAGCCGACGCTGGGCCCATGGTGGTACACTGCAGGTAGGTTGGCAGTTGGTTGAGGAAACATACCTAGAGATCACAGTTTGTACAGGGCTTGAAAAACACTTGAAGTTCAACAGCTGTTTGGAAACGCTTGAATTTAAGTGTGGCTTTGAAACCCTTTAAATAATGTTGCTGCCTATCATATTTGGATTGTCAAAACATTTTGGAGAAATTCTCGGTGCTACACCTTGTGTTTTTTGTTCCAATAGCAAAATTAGAGGTCTCTCTTGGCTCTCATTTCCGTGAGACCTTGTGTCACTGCGTAAATATCCTTTCAAATATAATGTATATTTTTTGTTAATACTGGTAAATGTATTACAGTAGAAACCCTTTAATGTCTTTGTCGTTATTTTGTGTGAATATGATTGAGTTTCAAGCTTACTTTGAAGCGTGAAGACTATAGTTACGAGGGAGTAAAGCCCAAAGGGAGGTAACCCTCCATGCAATGCAATGTTTTAAAGCCACTTGGTCTACAGCAACAGCTTGGTTACTGCTTGTTTGTCGAGGTCATTGTCACTGACAGGTCAAAGGGAGATAATTGAAAAATTAAACAAATTTGGCCAAAGAAGAACATTGAATATGAAATCTTCCTCTGATATAAACAGCCAATCATCATTGTAAAGCATTAATTTTAAGATGCAGAGGTTATTCATGTCTGTAACACTTAAATATGTATGTATAACAAAGGTACCAAATGAAGTCAATATTGCTTGTTTCAGTGCTGGTGTGGGCCGGACAGGAGCTTTCATAGTGATAGACGCCATGCTGGAGAGGATTAAGCATGAAAAGACTGTTGATATATACGGGCATGTAACCTGCCTCCGTGCTCAACGAAACTACATGGTACAAACCGAGGACCAATATATCTTCATCCACGACTCTCTGCTGGAGGCGGTACAGTGCGGCAACACTGAGGTGCCCGCTCGGAACCTCACAGCACATATACAGAAACTCACAGCCCCTGAGCCAGGCGAGACTGTCACAGGCATGGAACTGGAATTCAAGGTACAGCCACCAGCTTTCTGTTATTTGAGATATTTTATAAGATTCAGGCACTGGGAAAAAATTTCACATGACAAACATGAACCTTGTCATTTATATATACTGCAATATTAACTATTACTATTTTGTTGGAATGATTACAGTATTTGCCTGAATAAGCTCCACATCTAGTACAGTATGGCATGTAATCTTTACAAGCACACACTACTAAGACCAACAGTTTCATGACTGTCCTATTTTCTTGTGTATATTGCAGATTATTGAAAACACCAAAGTAGACGGGGAATGTAATTGCCTTGTATCTAACATTTAAACTGTATTTTGCAGTTAATGTGTGAGCTTTGACTGACTACCACATAGTCTCTGACAACACATTCAGTGTGGGGGCGGTGGGGTAGCCTAGTTGTTAAAGTGTTGGCTCGTCATGCCGAAGACCCGGGTTCGAATCCCCACATGGGTACAATGCGTGAAGCCCATTTCTGGTGTCCCCTGCCGTGATGTTGCTGGAATATTGCTAAAAGTGGCGTAAATCCAAACTCAGTCAGTCAGTCTGTCATTCAGTCTGGATGGGTATTATAAGCACCACCCCATATTCATCCCCACCTATACCCAAAACTTTTGTCAATTGTCTGAGGAGCTTATTACAGGAAATACGATTCAATGTTTTAAACCTAATTCTGCCAATACGATTAATAATACAATTTTCTATTTTGCAGAGATTAGCCAATGTGAAGGCCAGTCCAAATAGATTTGTTAGCGCAAATCTTCCAGTCAACAAATTCAAAAATAGACTTGTCAATATACTGCCTTGTAAGTATGTTTCATGTGTTTGTTACTTAATAGAACCTGATTTACACAGAGTTCCTGAAAACAGTTAAAAATGATCTCATTCTTACGTCAACATAAACTGATACAATAAACAGTTAAGGATGTTATGCCGTATCACATACTGGTACCTTGATTATAGTTATCACTGCCCTTTGTTGTGCCAGAGTTGCTCCCAAGGCCGCCTGTGCCAGTGGTAAGACATGACAGAAAGGATGGAATGGAGGCCTAGTTGATCAAGTGTCATTGTACCTCTATGCCATGGGCTGTACACAATACAGAGTTAAATAGATGTCGATAATTTTTCAATATGGTGAATAACACATATGCGCTACAGTTTTAAAGAGGTGAAGGAGTGTTTTAGTTCAAATTTTTACGACCCGTGAAGATCCGGGGTAGAATAGGACTTCAGCAACCCAGGCTTGCCACAAAAGGCGACTATGCTTGTCGTAAGAGGCGACTAACGGGATCGGGTGGTCAGGCTCGCTGACTTGGTTGACACATGTCATCGGTTCCCAATTGCGCAGATCGATGGTCATGCTGTTGATCACTGGATTGTCTGGTCCAGACTTGATTATTTAGAGACCGCCGCCATATAGCTGGAATATTGCTAAGTGCGGCGTAAAACTCAACTCACTCACTCAAATTTTACCTTAATGGTCCATATCCCTATTTCAGATGAGTCTACTCGAGTGTGTCTGCAGCCGATCCGGGGAGTGGATGGTTCAGATTACATCAATGCAAGCTTTATAGACGTAAGATTCTTCATTAGATTTACACAAACATTGCATAATTCAGTCTTGTTCAGTTTGCCTCTTGTTCCAAAGATCAAAGTTTGACACTGAGAATGGTAATGTTTGTGTGGCCCCTTCATCCGCCAGTGTAAATTGCATATTGTTTCTTACATCACGAAATCATACAAAATTCCACAAAATTCTTTCATTAATAATGCATCCAGAATGCATTTACAACTTTGATACTGGTTATGTGCAGAATTTGACGTGCGTATTGTCTGATTTGCAGGGATACCGCTACAAGAAGGCATACATCGCCACCCAAGGTCCACTGGCGGAGACAACAGAAGACTTCTGGAGAATGTTGTGGGAGCACAACTCGACCATCATCGTCATGTTGACCAAACTTCGAGAGATGGGCAGGGTATGTTGACTTTTACACAAGGCTGCAGTGTCAGACAGCTGTGGTAGATATGGTACCGAAACAATAGGGTATTGTTAGTAAAGTAATCATAGTATATCATAGTAAGTGTCCTTTCCATGCATATATAAATTGTTCTCCTTATTTTAGGAGAAATTTCATACCCTGTAGCTTATATTTGTTTAGAGATGGAAAATCAGGATTCAGGACTGTCTGAAAAATCACGACTTCTGTTCAATTCACTTCCGCACACTTTCCACTAAAACTGCCCTCGCTCACTCTGATATGTTCATCAAGAATATTATTAATGAGTGTCATTTCAGTATCAGTTTTCATTAAAGTTGCTTTGTTGTTTTTTGCAGGAAAAATGTCACCAATACTGGCCAAGTGAGAGGTCAGCCCGTTATCAGTATTTCGTGGTCGATCCTATGACCGAGTACAACATGCCACAGTACATTCTCAGAGAGTTCAAGGTCACAGACGCTAGGGTATGTCACTCTGTTGTTCTATGTGTTGAAAATACTTCCTTTTCTTTGAGCAATGGTTATGAGATATGTATCTAACCCATTATTACTTTATCAGCCATATGTTTTTCAAACAATTTCAACTATTTTGTTTCCAGGATGGCCAATCTCGGACAATACGTCAGTTCCAGTTCACAGACTGGCCAGAGCAAGGAGTGCCAAAATCTGGAGAGGGATTCATTGATTTCATTGGACAGGTCCACAAGACAAAGGAACAGTTTGGACAGGAAGGACCTATCACTGTTCACTGCAGGTTTGTATAATATTCCCTCTTCAAGAAAATCTTCAGGATGTGCTGATAGTGGGTTCCAATCCCATGTTTGCTTTGATGATGATCTTTGGTCTGGTTGGACCTGTTCTTGATGATTTCAAGCGATAACTGTCAAGGATCTATTTCATAAGCCTGTCCTTCTAAATGAAACTGAGACAATCTGCTATAACAAATATTTATTCAAATGATCTATCCCCACCATGATATTGCTGGAATATTGCTTAAAGCAACATAAAACCATCTTACTCACTCACTCGCTCACTCAAATGTTGTATGATGGTATCAGTAACTGGATTGCCTGGTCCAGACATGATTATGTTCAGACTACTGTCTATATGTCTGGAATATTGCCTTGTGCAACGTTATACAACAAACAAATACAACATTGTAGTTTACCAAGCTGTTCGCATGTGTCTGGTTGTTGCAGTGCTGGTGTTGGACGGACTGGCGTGTTCATCACCCTTAGTATTGTGCTGGAGAGGATGCGTTACGAGGGCGTAGTGGACATGTTCCAGACTGTAAAGATGTTGAGGACACAGAGACCAGCAATGGTTCAGACAGAGGTAAGACATGCGAGTACTAGGGCTGGGGTGGTTCCAAATTTTCTACCCAGGTACAACACCCACTATTACCCTACCTAACCCGGATACACGTTATGTTAATTCCTGACGTCAAAATTTGCAAGGAATGGCAATATATTCTTCGGCTCAGAGGCTAAAATTTTGAGGTTTTCATTATCTTAACCATGTATTGTATTCAAAAGAGGTGACCGTAAATTATGTCTAAATCTTCAAAGATAATACAACCTATTAATCATGAAAGAATAACACGTTACATTGTTTAATGTATTAGTCACATGATCATAACGGGTCCGGATATTGAGAGTGGTACCCGGGTCCAACTCATTACCCACGCGTCCCGGCTATCCAGGGTACCCGTCCCAGCCCTAGCGAGTACTGTTTCCCAGGTGTAAATCATCAATAGTTCATGCTTCATCACCACAGGCTCGCAAATGAAATTGGACACTTTCTACGTGTAACATATGCTCTGTAATCTAGACTTTAAACCTGTGTAGTCCCTGGGGTCTCTGATGTAGTGCAGGTCACCAATACCCAGTGTTTCTTATAACAGCCTGGGCGGTGGGGTAGCCTAATGGTTAAAGCATTGGCTCGTCACTCCGAAAACCCGGGTTCGAATCCCCACATGGGCACAATGTTTGAAGCCCATTTCTGGTGTCCCCTCCCGTGATGTTGCTGGAATATTGCTAAAAGCGGCGTAAAACCAAACTCAGTCAGTCAGTCTTATAACAGCCAGTAAAAACTATGGGTGGGTAAAGTTTGTGATCTGGGCCCCGTTTCACAAAGCTCTCGTAGCGCTACGACTATTGTAAGTCAATGTTGCAGAATAGGAGGTAGGAATGCTACGAGGAAAGTTACGAGATCTTAGGCTTACGAGAGCTTTGTGAATCTGTTCCCTGGATCTCAAAGGTCCAAATCACTACTATCAAACACTGGTTGCCCAGTGCTGTTACAGTATTTCACAGGTACATATCTTATGGCTTTTAAGACTGCATCATAACATATTATCACTCATGTTTTCAAGGCACCTTGGAATATATGGAAGTGATAAATTTAAGGCCGACCAAGTAAACATTCAGTAGCATTGTATTTTGTTCCGTTTTCTCTCCATGTTATTATTTACAATTTTGATGTTTCAGGATCAATACCAGTTCAACTATCGAGCAGCGTTGGAGTATTTGGGATCTTTCGACCACTATGCAAACTGACAGACCGGGGACAGCGTGTTTCAAGCTATGCAGCCCTCGGTACCTTGGTGATAGAAGGACGTTGTGGAAGTCAAGTTTGGAGAGAGTCAAGCTCAGAAATGTGACACAGGACATTTTATATGGTTACATGTCTTGAATCTGACTGCTCTCGAACATTCATCTTGACTGTGGCTTGTGTACTCTTGTTCAGAGAGTTTATTCATGAGATTTTATCACCAGGGATTTGTATGTGACAATACATGGATTTGATTCATCAAGCTGTCAAGTGGTTGAAAGTGCGATGTTAGCATCAGAGGGTGCAGCAGATCATCGGACCAAGCTGCTTCCATATTTGGTCGCCATACTTGCTTCCGCCGCCGCTAGAGCAAGTCTTGCATTGGATCATACTGTATCAACGACTGTTTGTGATCATGTGACACCCTCCATCCTACATCGCTTGCTGCTTGTTGAAGAGGGAGCAGCCATTTCAAAAGATCCATGTATTTTGGCGTGATCCGGTGGCGCTCCGTGCTTGTGTTGTCGTACTAGCCAATATTTCAACTGGACTGAGCAATATATATAGTCGTCTTCTCTTTAGTTGATGGATAGAACAAGTGAATACTGACATGATTAGACATATTCACTGACAGAGAGGTGAACCTCGTCTAATGAGAGAATGTATGTAAGTGTCAATCATGGACATTGAACTATGGGAAAGCTGTGAGACAGTGGATGAAATTGGCACGAGCGAGATTTCATGAGGACACTGTAGCCATTTTCAATTGTACAATAGACTGTATCATTATTGTCATCCATGTGTCCTATTTTCATGTTGCATTATGTTTTTTCAATTTGCTACATATTGTACATTGTCAGTGTATCGTACATCACTCAGTTCATTACATTTCCATTATCGGTGTCCACGTTATAGCCAGACATTTTCAGTGGTATGATCAGTAGGCCTCGTACAGTTGTCATGGTGACATTTTTACAACAACAAAAAGTGAGTCCGTTTTATAAAAAAAAAATGTGACTTGTGTCATCGGATCAGTGTTAAAAGTATGAATGATTACCTAACAAGTCATGTAGCATTCATTTGCTCCACATTGTCTCAAGGTTGTGCTGTATTCTCTCACACCTTTTGCCTTGATAGACCAAGGTTGGGTTCTGTAAGACCAGTCTCCCTACTTAAGGGCCAGCCATGTCACAAGATCATCAGACTGACGTGCAAGGTATGCTACTTACAAGGTGTATGTATTAATCAATGTCTCACTCATATTGGGTTACATTTCGATCATGATCGTTCAAATTCAAATTTTTCAAATTTGATGTTATTTATTACTAACGTTGATTGTTAATTTTAAAATTACTGGGTTACATTTTGTGTGACAAGTTATGATTTAATCTGTGTTGACTTCTGAGAAAAATCTGAGCTGAATGCTACCCATGTTGAAATCGTAACCCCAGTCAACAGAAGATGTACAATTTTGAGCTCAAATCAATCGATAGTGTAGAGCATGTACTCAAATTACAACCGTTGATGTTTATAATGCAAATTGTTGAGCAAAATATCAAGGAAGATCATTATTACATCATGGTAGTTAGATTTAATATGGACCATCATTGTAGAATCTCCCAGAGAGCATTATGTTTGTGTTTGTGTTCTTCTGTCATGTGACACAAAGCTGAATGGTAATCACTATTTAAACCCTGTATTGTTAATATTCGACCTTGTGTATTACCTTTATTTTGGAGGTGTTCAAATTGTGCAATGGACCTTCTTCTACTGAATTCTTAGGGGCCAAACATTCATACTTCAGGCTTTGTACCCCACCCTGTAGAAATGATCATTCAATCTCGTGTTGGACTTCTCTAAGGGAGAGCACTCTTCCTGTTAAACTTTCTTGTGCTAGATATGTAGAAATGCCATGGATTTTGAAGCATGTATCTATTTGTGATCAAGTACTATCCTGTGTAATTAAATATCTTTATCTTGCGCACTTACAAACTTTTGAGTAAGTTTGAACCCCAATATCAACTTTCCTATACGCAATTTTTGAAACGTCAAGAAAGCCAATCATCTGTGATTAACTTATGCAAAATTTCCAACAGTCTTTAGTTCTGATTTGCAACACCTTTTTCAAGCACATCAAGTGCAACACAGCATGCCAAAATTATTCCGTATTTTGCTACCAATTAAGTCCTCGTCTCGAGGTTCAAGCTTATTCCTCCTCCTCAGTTTCTGTAGTTGTCACAAACTTAGGCTCCTGTTTTTAGTTTCAAAACCAAAGAACAGATACATTTGAAAGAAATGGAATTCCATTGTCTATTCAGTTGTATGCTGGATGTTGTTATGTTATAATACTTCCTCTGAAAGTTGACCAGTTCCACCAAGCAGCCCTTGCACCTTCTTGCCACTAACATTGTGATATAAGTGCTCGTAATCACCCAGCGGCTGATATTTGTGATCCTTTCAAGTGAAATTAAATTTCACTATGCTACAAAATATTAAAACTATCATTCCAAATCAGATCTCAGAACCTCATGAATCATTAAGACTGTCAAGATTTGTAAACACCTTTCAGAGGAAGTATACTCGACAAGGGGTTAAAAACCTCTTTTTACTCCACAACTGCGTAACTCTGTACAATTGCATAATGTAGATACCTGATTATCTCCCCTGAGCTGAAGCTGTAGATAGAGCTGAAATCTATGGGTGTGGCCAGTCGAAACTCGTACAACTCGCGGCCCTCCGAGCCCGCCCACAACCCACCTACCCGGCTGTTACGTGCATGTGTACAATCAGTTTGTGTTGCTAAGATTCGGTCGTACACCTGGTCACAGTGCATGCATCTCAACTGGTATTTTGTATGTGATGGAATCATCCGGAAATTTATCAATATTTCAGCCAGTAAAGTCAAATAAAGAATAATGCTCAAGTTGCTGTTTCCTGTTTTGTTGTGCGAGGTCATGTTGCAAACAACAAACCATTGTCTCCACAGGGGATCAAGTTGCTGTTTCCTGTTCTGCTGTATGCTGCCATGTTAAAAACAACAAACCAAGATCTCCATCTTGAGAAAGAACGTAATGAGAAATGTCTGCCAAGCTACAGTCACTAGAGGTTAGAGCGTCCGCCCGGGGAGGGGAAGGTCGCGGTTCGATCCCCGGCCGCGTCATACCAAAAGACGTTAAAATATGGTACTTGTTGGTCCCTGTCTGGCGCTCGGCATTAATGGGTACAACAAAGACTGGTCGGCTCGGAGTCAGTATAATGTGTCTGAGTGGGGTATTCATGCTTCACTGTGGCTTGGTATCTCAGTGGGCTAGCACTATAAAACCAGCTTCAGTCTGGGCTAGTACAAGCAGCCACACATACACACGCATGCACGTCATCATATGAGCTAAATATTCTCAAGCACGATGATAAACCCAATTTCACATCACCTCACCTGTTCAAGGGTTTGCACTAACCTGGCGTAAACACTACTTATGCTGTATGAAGATAGTTTTTGTGGAAAGTTGAGTGTTTTCTCCCACACTAGATGAGTGAGTGAGTTCAGTTTCACACAGCACTCCGCAATATTCCAGTCTGGACCAGACAATCCGGTGATCAACAGCATGAGCATCGATCTACGCAACTGGGATACAATGACGTGTCAACCAAATTAGTGAGCCTGACCACCCAATCCCACCCTTGGCCTTTTATGACAAGCATAGGTTACTGAAGATCAATTCTAACCCACACTAGATGATGTAACTGAAACAGTGCTCAAAGCAGAAATCCTGATACCTTCTCATTCAAGTAGATAACCTTCAGGGGATCACACTGATTCAGATGTATGCTTACAGGGATGTTTCTGTAGGGGTAGCCTAGTGGTTAAAGCTTTGGCTCGTCACGCCAAAGACCCGGGTTCGAATCCCCACAAGGGTACAATGTGTGAAGCCCATTTCTGGTGTTCTCCGCCGTGATGTTGCTGTTGCTGGAATATTGCTAAAAGCAGCATAAAACCAAACTCAGTCAGTCAGTTCAATGCGGCGGGGCATACTACTTATCAAAGAAGTTAGAAAGTCGTGGTCCATGCTGTCCCAATATCGGACCACCTCTTCTTTCATTTGAGCAATGTTTGTCAGATGTTTCTTATTGACACTTTCCTTCATAAGTCCCCGGACATTTTCTATTGGATTTAGGGAGCACCTTTAGAATACAGCACCACAACTTCTCGTGAGGCCGATCTCTGCCGTAGGTCACGTGTCGTTAAGACAAGCAACCAGTTTGTGAGAACCCGTCGGACGCGAACCCGCGACCTTCGGATTGTTAGCTCGACAGCTAACCGACTGAGCTACGTCCACACTGTTGCACAATGTGCAAATTTATCGAGTCATTCCTGTGACGTCACGGAAATGAACGGAAAGAGTCGAATAGGTCACGGACAATTACGAATGCTACGGGTAGACTTGGTGTCTCGTGATTTTATTCTCCGGACAATTGCCGAATGGATCCGATGCCATTTGGCACACTCGTCCCATTCCGTAATCTACAAATTAACGTGTGGCGTGGAATGAGCCGATATGCCTCAAACTGAAAAGGGTTGTTGACGTCAGGCGTCAGACGTAGATTTCACGGTGCATGCATGAATGACGCGCTTTTATATAAATCGGTGATTTTGTGACAGAAAAGTGATGTAGGGAACACTGTAAGGATAATGTGGATCGCACTAAGGAACGAGGGAGACATGAGCATGTGTAGTGACGGCACGAGGGTGAGTTAGCCTTCGAATCATTACTTTACAAAATTTATGTTGCGTGTGAAAGAGGCTTGAGTGCAAATTCCAGACCAATTTCCATTAGCCCAAAATTTCTACATTAACCCATTTCATAATGTACTTTCGACGTTTTTGGTTTCCCGTTTTTGTGTGAAAAAAAGTATTAAAATGCAAAAAGGAAAAACAACAAATGGTACTCACGTATTACACCGGTCATGTACCTGCTATATTGGATTAGGTCCCTAACCCTAACCCTAACCCTAAACCCTAAACCCTCAGCCCTAACCCTAACCCTAACCCCTTGAAATAATCCTAATAAATAGAATGCATTGACCGAACCACCGGACATGTACCTACTATATATTGCATTAGGTCCCCAACCCCAACCCTAACCCTAAACCCTAAACCCTAACCCTAGTCCTAGTCCTAGTCCTAGCCCTAGCCCTAGCCCTAGCCCTAGCCCTAGCCCTAGCCCTAACCCTAACCCCAATCCCTTGAATTAATCCTAATAAATAGAATGCATTGACCGAACCGGCGCAAACACGACTGACGTGTCTAGTGTAATGCATTATTACCGCTTCGAAAAATAAAATACTAATAAAACACTTTTCTATGTAATGGTGCAAATTACTGAATGACAAATATATATATGTAAATTTAAAAAATTAAAAAATACAAAATACACAAAACATAACACCTCAGCAGCCCGTAATACAAATAAATATGAGCGTATTAGTGAAAAAAGAAAAATATTTCAAACTGGTGCTTGCAAAATATTGCGCATCCGCCGGTATACAACTACTGGAAACTCTCAACATCGTTGGGCTTATGCAATGACATAGCTCGTAGAGATGAAACACCAGTGAGCGGAGCTTATACGCACTCGCTGAGCCAGACAACCGTGTTGCCATGCAGGCGTCATAAGGCATTGTTTCGAGAACGTGCTTTCGAACAAAATCACATTACATTACGTAAAAGGGTATTATGACGTATTTTTAAAGTTTGTGGTGCTGTATTCTAAAGGTAGGCCTGGTGCTCAATGCCATCTCCATTTGCAATATTTTTCAAAACACGATAAACAGTGGACAAAGGGATGCCTGTTCTACTTGAACTCACTTTAGCTGATCTGATATCCTTGTTATAATACTCTAACATCAACTTCCTCTTCTCTAAATCATCCATACTGAGGATCACTGAAAATGTCGTCTGCTAGCAAGTAAACAAGGGGGGATAACTCTTCACAAACTAATAAAAAAGGATTAACAGATTTGTCTCTCTTGAATGAAACCAAGCACTTGATAGCTGGTCAAGATTGTTTATACTAGAAATCCAATTAAACATATTCCTAAAATTCTCAATAATTTCTGGTCATACTATAACTCCTGATATTTTGCCTTACGTCAGTTACATGTAAAAAGTAACATTAGGGACCGTTCATAATTTATGGGAGAGGAGGGTGGGGTGGGTGGGGTGATTTTTAAGGAGGGGGTGTCACCCATTTTGTTCTGGGGAGGTAGGGGTCATCAATTTGTACACGTTTCTAGGGGGTCATCAATTTTGTACATAATTTTTGTTAAATGCCATTGATTTTGTACATGACATGCAGGGGGTCACTTACTTTGTACATACATTTTAGTGTGTGTGTGTGTGTGGGGGCATTCACATTGTACATGCTTCTCCATAAAAATCACCATCACTCTCCCTAGCCATAAATTATGGACGGTCCCTTATCTCTTTAGAGCTACACTCACGAGCCTTATTAGAGATTACAAAATGATCGCAGTATAAAGTAAATTGATTGATAGCGCAATGAAAATTTCCCTTTTTGTAAAGCAGCCATTTGCCAAACGATCGTCTCGTTAACGACGTTATCTTTGGTAAACCTCATAGTGATTCTATGTACTCTTAGGTCCTCGATATCCGATGACCCAAATCAGTCAATGACGGTCTCTTCGGTTTTGAGTTGACGTATTTGTCTCTGCAGACTATTTTTCAGAGTCAGTTGGGTTTGCGTGCGTGCGTGCGTGCGTGCGTGCGTGCGTGCGTGCGTGCGTGCGTGTTTTTCTACTCAGTTGTCCGTCTCTGGACATGTACAGGTATCCTCTTGAAACATGTATCCACTGCCATCTAGAATTTCAGTAATGAATGATCATACATTGACATGTAATATATATGTGGGGGTGTGTGGTTATGTATGTATGTATGTATGTATGTATGTATGTATGTATGTATGTATGTATGTATGTATGTATGTATGTATGTATGTTGTAGATATTATCATCCATAGCTACACGGTTACAACAAATGCAGACCCTCAGGCGGGGAACATATTTGTCTTCAAGTATACTGTCTCAGACATCTGCGTTTCAACTTTTCTGAATTATTTCTCTAAATATAAAGTTTCTGATCTTTGCCTACTACAACCTGAGTTTCGTCTGAAGATATAACTTTGAACCAATGTTTGGTTTAACAGTCCAGTGTAGATGGCATCTGGCAGAGGTCCTCCAATTGAACCGAGTTTGAGAGGATGTGGTTCTATTCTCTACTACCCGCCTGCCATAACCCTTTTCATCTAAACGACTGACGGCTGACGAAAGGATTGAAAAGAACTGGCTTTTGTGGTGGCGAGTTGGTGTCTTCCAGGATTGGACGCAACCCAATAATGCTAGAATGTACTAATATACTAGAATGTATACTTTACTAAGAAAGTGTAATCTCAATCATAATGTTTGGTGAATTTCCTAGAAATTTGCAGAAACATCTATGTGATTCACATTTTCGAAAATAATTCAGCAAATCTGAAGGCTCGTTCCGAATTTTAAAGAGCAGTGCCAAAATGAAGGGACAGTAAGCGAAACTTTTATGGAAGATTTGTGAGTAACAGTCTTACCCTGCTTAGTGAGCATAGAACTTGCGATTCGTTACATACAAATATTAATTATGGATTATGAAAAAAATGTTTGCTTTCAGAAACGCCGAGTGGCGCATCCAATTTACGACTTCATCAAGCTTCGAGGGCATGTTTGAATCTCTAGAAAAGTCTTCATGGTGGAATGAATAAATGTTTTATTGTGTCTTAAACCACGTTCTCCTGTTTAAGCGACGAAGGGGACCAACAACCGCCACACGAAACGGGATTTTGTAATATCCAATATTATGGAAAGGCCACTCCGGCA